ATGGATCTTACTTTTAAATCACCACCAACCGATTCATAGAAGTCATCAATGAGATTTAAACCAAGCACTCCACGTTCTTTGAATAATCCAACTCCTTTGAACATGCTATCATCCTCATCGTATTGACATCACAATAAGATTGGAGGATTTTATAGAATCAGAAATATTACACCCAACTACTATGGCGTATAAGGTAAATCATATGAAACAAAAGAGGTTAAAACTTTATGGCTCCATTTGGATGTACGGATTCCAAATCTATGGCTTATAAGGTAAAATTGTTTGTATAGACTATTACAATCCATGTATGCCAAGATTTGGATAAGAAAGAAAGGAAGAAAACAAATGGATTTCAGATGGTATGTATTCATTTCAAATACAGTCCTGATCTCTTGGACTACAGGGGTCCAAGAGATTTGTGGTCACTCACCGTTGGATGTAAATTCAACGGTTCAATCACTCTTGCACTCCTTTTAAGAAACTTTTTTGAACCATTGAATTAATATCCAATAGTGGGTGACCATAATCTCTTGAACTCCTGTGGCCCAAGAGATCGGGACTATCTATTTCAAATGTACTACATGTAGTTATTTCAAATACATTCAGGGCTCGTTTGGGAATCTTTTGGATCAGCGAAAACCACTTCTAAATGGGTGAAAACGCTTATGTCTTTAAAAGATGGTGTTTGACAAAAATTGTAAAATCGCTTTGAATCATTTAACAACATAATGATTAAAAATTATACTTGGTGAAGTTCATACTTTGTTAAGTCGTGTTTTTTTTTTTTTTTTAATTTTTTTTATATTTTCTATATTTATTATAATATTTTGAGATTCTTTACATTTTTTAAAGGTTGATATTGAAAGAAGTAACAAAAGGGGGTGAAAAGCAGTAGTAGTTGATAACTTGGTAAGCTGTGGAATCAAAAAGTATATATTAATTTTCTAAGTTAAACATTACAAATCTTAGAGAATGTTGAACTAATATCCCATGTTTGTAACAGTAGTGGTAAGGGAGCAAAGGTAGTGCTTCCACCTAGTAAAATACTCGTTTGGGAGTGAATCTGGATACGCAAAAAAGCACTTCTATAGAGAATTACTTCTCCAAATAATCAACTTAAGCAGTTTTAAGGGCTAGTTTGGCATTGCTGTGCTTTTAAAAAAAACTGCTTCTGCTGTGCTGCAATAATAATCTGCTGTGAAAAAAAACAGCTAGACGTTTGGTAAATTGTATTTGAAAAACTGCTGTGAGTAGTTAAAGTGTTTGGTAAATTTTTATCAGAAGTGCTTTTAGTGTGTATAATGACAAAGAAGGACATGAAGATGAAACTGGTTATATTTTTCTTCATTCCTTTTCTACTAAAAAAAAAAAACCAACTTCACAACCTTTTCTTTTTTTAATTTACACTTTTTTTTATCAAAAAATTTAGTCTATAAAATATTATTATAATAATAAAATATACAAATATAAAAATACATATACAAAATTAAAATTAAAAACACCACCCCATCTCTCTCTCCCCTATTCTCGTCGCCGTCGCCTCAAAACACCCCCCACAAAAAAAAAATCCAGATCAAGAGAGCTTTGAGTTCATGGTCCTTTGCTCTATGTATGTGAGTGGGATTGTAAGATTGGATTTTATTTTGGTGGGAAGCTGGTTTGATTTTCTTTGGCTGGACATGACGGAATGGGGAAGCTGGGGTTTGGATCTTTTGTGGTTGCATGGTTTGGTAGTTGGTAAAATCATTGAATTTATGGTATATGTTTACAGAGTTATTCACTTTTTTGTTTTTCTCTTGCTCTCAAATCTTAGATTTTTAACTATTCTTCAAGGTTGTAGGGGCTTCTTCTTCGCTTGGGTATGAATTCTTCTTTGATTTGATGGGGCTTCTTCTTCTCTCTCTGCATTTTTTTTTTCAAAAATTTTATCTTCTTCTCCTTCTCTGTGCATTTTGATTCGAAGAGTTGCAGATGGGAGTTGTGTAATTGGAGGGACAAGGATTGTCCATTTAAAAAGTAAGTGGGGGCATTATGGGAAAGCCAAAATTTCTTTAAAACTACCGGTTAAATTTTTTTCTAAGCAGCTTTTGAAAGCTGCCTTCTCCCTGCTTTGGAAAAACAGCGGTCGCTGACCGCAATTTTTAAAAAAAGCTGATTCTTGCTGTTTACCAAACACCTGAGTTTTGGAAATTTTTTTTTAAAGCTGCTTTTTAAAAAATTTAAGCACTCCCAAACGCTACCTTAGTAATCTACCTTAAAGCAATTTTTTTCTTCATGGTATTGCTCAAAGTATCATCATGACAACTATTTACTGACAGAACTGCTACACCCACCTCAAACTTTCTGCTTAACGTGGAATATAGGTATATATGAGGTTTGTAGCATGCTGGTGAAAGCTAAACCATTTCTCATTGAAGATACCTTGTTTCTTTTGCTCTTTTAACTTTAGGTAGCTTTTAATTAATGGAGAATGGGGATTTGAACTTGACCTGTTAACTATAATGTGTTTGGGTGTCTTTTCATTTATGGTGGGCAATGCGTTGAATATAAAATTTGAGTAATGCTACACTTACCACATTTATATCCCACATTTTCATACCACCTTATGTGGCAAATGAAGTGGACAATCACATCAATTTAAAAGTGTCACTAAATCATAAAAGATAAGAAAAAATTAAATTAATTTTAATTGATGTGTTGTCCACCTCATCTGCCACATAAGGTGGTATAAGAATGTGGTATACAAATGTGATAAGAGTAGCATTATTCATAAAATTTGAGTATCGTAAGATGGTTTTTTTATGTTATGTTTGATATATTTTTTTTTGGGGTTATGTTTTAAGGGATAAGGAAACATAATTTTAAATTCTCCTAAAGAAACTCATGTGATCAAAACCATGTTATAATGTGTATAATATCATGTCATGACATATTAATGTAAAACTAATGTCAACGGAGTCTAGCACAGTAAAAAAAGGGCCTTAGCTTGAATCTAATGCTGGTCACATTCAAGCTCACTGGAGAGAACCTACCGCTATGGTCTTGGTACCCTCAACTATATGAGTCCCTAAACTATGCAAATGAATGCAATATGAATGATAAAAATGTTTGATAAATCACCAAATAAACATGGAACACTTCATGATTTATCTAAAATAAAAACTCTGCTTTACAAAGTTTATGGACTGAAAATATGATGGTGAAAGCTCAAAAAAATAGTCCTTAAAGCTGTCAAGAATGAAGAAGACAAAAGCCTCTTTTATAGGCTTTTTGTTCCACCAAAAAGAAAACACGTTGAAAACAAAGATTGCTTGATTGGCAAAACATGAATTAAATCCCAAATATATTTTCCTTTTCTATATATGATTGAAATTAACCCAATAGAAAAGGCAAATATACAAGAAAAGAAGGTTTTAATCAATCACAATATCAAAGCAATAAAAAATCAGACACCTTGATATTGTGATCTAATATTGAAAACATGATTTCCAAGCAAGTTATTTAAAGAAATAATAAAGGAAAGATATCGAAAATTATGTCTAAAGAGATCCACTCCTAAAGGGATTCTTATTGACATAATAAATGCCAAAAATGTTCAATCAGGTGTGCAAGAGAAAACGGCATTTTAATAAAATGAGTTCGACATCTGCCGAATGTGGGGCGAAAACAGGGTTCGTCACAGATTCCAAAGGAGAATTGGAGACGGGTCCTGTCAAGAAGTGATCCATTACTTGCAAGGGTACACATTGGCCAGAAGTGCTAAACCACTTCATACCTTATTACAGCTACATGTAGCTAAACCCATATATATGAAACATTGTCATTGTATGTACCTATTTACCTGAAAGAATTTGTTGATGGGGAAGCACCTAATAAATCCTTCTTTAGAAAAGCACTTTTAGGCTGGTATGCCTCAATTGACTGGACTATGTTAAATAGCACTTAAAACCCATGTTTGGTGAGAGAGTGGACTAAATTAAATGAGATTATACAGTCCAACAGTGAAAAAAAATAGCTCACTAACTCGTCTTATACAGTGAGGCTAAAATATGGTTCACAAAATAGCAAGCTCGCTATTTTGAACGTGTGAATCCGACCATCACAGTCAAACCGTCATAGCCTCCACTTTCTCCTTATATCCTTCTCTTCATCTCTCTCCCCGCCTCTCTCTCCCCTGCCACCCCATCAATTCTCAAGACCATTCTCTCGACCTGTATTTAGCGAGAAGACACCAAATCCATATCCAAGCTTCAAGAATCCGCGTAATTGATATTCGCACAGCTCTAGCAGTAGATCAACGACAACTTGGTGCCGCACATAATGGAATTGCACACCGTATTCTTGCATAGTTTGGGAAACTCGTCAAGCGCCGAAGTGAAGATCGTGTTGAGAGTTAAGCTGCATACTAGTTTTGAATCAAGCTGCAGATGTTAATCCTGCAGATTGATAGTGAAGAGGATGAAGAAATCAAAGGAGCTGAAGAACTTTCCGTTTATAGTAGTAGCCGTTATAGGTTATTACCAACGGCTAGTTTTCCTACTATTTTGGGAAACTCTACAGCTATCATTCTTAGCTGTCTTAGTCCTTTATGCTGTAACAATTTCTATCCTAGGTGTAAGAATCGTAGCCTCCAATGACCTTGAATGGCTGGAGATGAGTCCTTGTATCCTAGTTTTTAGGATTTGTTTTTGGCAGCTTGTGTCATGCTTATATTGTGTTTTTTTTGGCTCTGATGCAATAGAAGATATACAGAAAAAAAACATTCTCATTATCTCTGAGTTTTCTCTCCTCTGCATACGTTGCATATACTGGTTCTATTGGTTTCTGTGAATCAGGCACTAAAACCCAAAAACAAAATACCAAATTCTAACATGGTATCAGAGCTTCTGGTCTGATTTCAGAGAAGGGGCGTGAGCTGTGAGAAAGGGGGTTTTCCTGAAATCTCTATAAGGGATAAAGGTTGCTCTTTTATTGTGTGGTTCACTGAGACTCACATCAAAATGGTGGGATCAGGTTCTGCAGGTGGAGATTTACGAACTCCACAGTTCAACGGCTCAAACTATGATTTTTGGTCAGTAAAAATGGAGACTATCCTCATAGCATATGACCTATGGGATGCAGTGGAGATTGGAATACAACCACAGCCGATTATTGAGCAGGAAGCTGGCTCTGAAGGCACTGGAGATGAAGAGAGTGAGGCTGACCAAATCCCAGTGGAAGCACCTACTATCTCCAGAGAAGATAAGATCAAAAATGCCAAGGCTTTGAGTCTTATTCAAGGAGCACTGACAGATGAACTCTTTCCTCGCATCAGAAATGAGAAGACTGCAAAAGGTGCTTGGGAAATTCTAAAAAGAGAGTTCAGAGGAGATAAAAAGGTAGGAGCTGTGAAATTACAAGCTATTAGAGCTGACTTTGAATATTTGAGAATGAATGATGTTGAATCTCTAGATGACTACTTGGCTTGTTTTTTTGAAATTGTAAACAACCTGAAATCTCTAGGAGAAGATGTAACAGAGAAAAGGATTGTCCAAAAATTGTTGATGAGTCTAAGTAGGAGGTACAAGTCCATAGTGTCAATCATTGAAGAAACCAGAGATCTTGACACTATTAGAGTTGAAGAAATTCTTGCATCTGTCAAGGTTTATGATAAGAGAGAGGATTTGCATGATGAAAGGGACAAATTGGCAGGAACTGAGAAAGCTTTTAGCAGTCTCAGAGTTGGAAATGATCAAGCTTCTGGAGCTAACAAAAGTTCTCAGGGAAAGCAAAATAAAAAATGGCAAGGACAAAACAAAAAGGGCTCAAATTGGTTCAAGGTGGAAATTTTAACAACAATAATGGCTCTGGAGGGAATTGGAACAGCAGCTTCAGTTCACAAAACAAGCAAGGGAGTAGTAGTCAAGGTGGTGTGAAACCACAGTGCCAAGTGTGTCAGAAATACCATTTGGTATATGCAGATATAAGGGAAAACCCAAGTGTGGAAAATGCAGTCGATTTGGTCATTTAACTAAGGACTGTGAAAGTGGTAAACAAGTTGCAAACTGTGCAAAAGAGGAAGAAGTAACCACAGGAACAATGTTCTATGCTTGTCATGCAAGCTCAATTGCATCAAGCAAGTCTGTGTGGTTTGTCGACAGTGCTTGTAGCAATCACATCACCTCTCAAGAGTCCTTGTTGATCAATCTTGATAGGTCAGTGACCTGCATAATGAAAATGGGCACTGGTGACCTTGTTCAAGCCACAGGAAAAGGGACACTAGTAGTTGAGACAAGAAAAGGGAGAAGATATATAAATGAGGTGTTGTTCCCTGGTCTGGATGAGAATTTGTTGAGTGTAGGACAAATGATGGAGCATGGGTACTACATTCTATTTGGAGGAAACTATGCATTAATATGTGATGATAGCAGCCTTGATAATGTTGTTGCCAAAGTACCAATGGCTGGAAATAGATGCATTCCATTGTCTATGGAATCTATCTGCTCAATGGGAATGAAAGCAGCAGTACAAGTAGATCCATGGGTTTGGCATAGGAGATTGGGGCATTTGAACTTTGCAAGCATGAAAAAAATGCAGCAAACACAAATGGTGCTAGGCTTACCTGATTTCTCAGAAAAATAAGCAGTATGTGAAGGCTGTGTGTATGGTAAAAGCCACAGAGAACCATTTGAAAATGAGAAGTCTTGGAGAGCTAAGCATCCACTTGAGTTGATACACACGGATGTATGTGGTCCAATGCAAAATGAGTCCATTGGAGGAAATAGATACTTCATCACATTCATTGATGACTATTCAAGAATGTGTTGGGTATATTTTCTCAGAAACAAGTCAAGTGTGATAAGTGTGTTCAAAAAGTTCAAAGCATTTATTGGGCTACAAGTGGATTCAACTTAAAGAAACTAAGAAGTGACAGAGGTGGAGAGTACACTTCACATGAATTCCTTGAGTTTTGCAGTGATCTTGGCATGGAGAGGCAACTGACTATTGCCTACTCACCTCAGCAAAATGGGGTTGCTGAAAGAAGAAATAGAACCATCTGTGAAATGGCAAGATCAATGATGACTGAGAAGAAAATCCCTGTAAAGTTCTGGGCTGAAGCAGTTGGTACTGTTGTGTATCTGCAAAACAGGTGCTATACTACTTCAGTTTCAGACAAAACTCCATTTGAAGCTTTCACATGAAGGAAACCAGGTGCAAAACACCTGAGAGTGTTTGGAAGTATATGTTACAGTCACATTCCATCAAACCTTAGACAGAAGTTTGATGACAAAGCAAGCAAAGGAATTTTTATGGGTTATGGCAGCTGTGAGAAGGGTTACAGGGTCTATAATCTTCAAACTGAGAAGATTATACTCTCTAGAAGTGTTGTTTTTGATGAGAACAAATCCTGGAATTGGGAAAGCAAGCAAGATGAAACTGTCTCTATGCCTCTCATCTTTGAAAATGGAAATTCTGAGATAGCTAAAACAGAAGCAGCCTCTCATGAAAATCACAGCATTGATTCACCAAATTCATTATTGAACCTGAAACTTATTATGAAGCTGTAGAAGACAAAGCATGGAAGGAAGCAATGGATGCTGAGATTGAAACCATTGAAAAGAATGGAACTTGGGAGCTAGTGGAAAGGCCTACAGATAAACCAGTCATAGGAGTCAAATGGGTGTTCAAAACCAAGTTGAATCTGGATGGAACAGTTCAAAAACACAAGGCTAGGCTTGTAGCTAAAGGGTATGCTCAAAAACCTGGTATTGATTATAATGAAACCTTTGCCCCAGTGGCAAGGTTAGATACAATTAGAACTTTGATTGCACTTGCAGCACAAAAGGGTTGGAAGTTGTTTCAATTAGATGTTAAGTCAGCCTTCTTGAATGGAGTACTTGAGGAGGAGGTTTATACTGAGCAACCAGAGGGGTTTGAAGTGAAAACAGCAAGTCACAAGGTCTATAAATTAAAGAAGGCCCTCTATGGTTTGAAGCAGGCTCCCAGAGCCTGGTACAGTGAAATAGACACCTATCTAACTAGCTGCAATTTTAAAAGAAGCACCAGTGAGGCCACCTTATATACCAGAACTGATGAAGAAGGAAAACTGATCATTGTCTCTATATATGTTGATGATATAGTTTATACTGGAATCAGTAATGCTTTCCTCAGTGAGTTTAAAAGGGACATGATGCAAAAGTATGAAATGACTGATTTAGGACTCCTACATCATTTCTTGGGAATGGGAGTTCTACAAACTGAAAATGGAGTGTTTATTCATCAAAGCAAGTATGCAAAGTCCTTGCTTGTGAAATTTGGTCTCGAGGATTGTAAGTCAGTAACAATTCCTCTACCCACTGGTGAAAGATTAAAGAAAGTTGATGGAAGTGATTTGGCTGATGAAGGTTTGTTTAGAAAAATTGTTGGCAGCCTGTTGTATCTGACTGCAACCAGGCCTGATATAATGTTTGCAGCCAGTTTGTTATCAAGATTCATGAACAGCCCCATAAAGAAGCACATGGGAATTGCAAAAAGGGTTCTTAGATACATTCAAGGCACTCTCAGCTATGGCATTGAATTTACAAGGGATAATAATGCTGTTCTGGTTGGCTTTTGTGACTCTGATTGGGCTGGCAGTGAAGATGACAGTAGAAGCACATCTGGATATGCATTCAGTTTTGGTAGTGGAGTTTTTTCATGGGCTTCAGTCAAGCAAAACGTCTGCCCCCCCCCCCTCTCTCTCCCCTGCCACCCCATCAATTCTCAAGACCATTCTCTCGACCTGTATTTAGCGAGAAGACACCAAATCCATATCCAAGCTTCAAGAATCCGCGTAATTGATATTCGCACAGCTCTAGCAGTAGATCAACGACAACTTGGTGCCGCACATAATGGAATTGCACACCGTATTCTTGCATAGTTTGGGAAACTCGTCAAGCGCCGAAGTGAAGATCGTGTTGAGAGTTAAGCTGCATACTAGTTTTGAATCAAGCTGCAGATGTTAATCCTGCAGATTGATAGTGAAGAGGATGAAGAAATCAAAGGAGCTGAAGAACTTTCCGTTTATAGTAGTAGCCGTTATAGGTTATTACCAACGGCTAGTTTTCCTACTATTTTGGGAAACTCTACAGCTGTCATTCTTAGCTGTCTTAGTCCTTTATGCTGTAACAATTTCTATCCTAGGTGTAAGAATCGTAGCCTCCAATGACCTTGAATGGCTGGAGATGAGTCCTTGTATCCTAGTTTTTAGGATTTGTTTTTGGCAGCTTGTGTCATGCTTATATTGTGTTTTTTTTGGCTCTGATGCAATAGAAGATATACAGAAAAAAAACATTCTCATTCTCTCTGAGTTTTCTCTCCTCTGCATACATTGCATATACTGGTTCTATTGGTTTCTGTGAATCAGGCACTAAAACCAGAAAACAAAATACCAAATTCTAACAGATCGCGGCATTGAACGACGTCATCAATTTCATCGAGTGTTTGATGAGCCTAGGTTCCTCACGCGACAGAGAGAGAAAGGGCAGAGGAGGGGCGAATCTGACAGTCGAGGTCAAGCTGGTTCTATGGGGGTGGGTTGACGGTAGATCTCTGAGGGTTGGTTGAAGGTTGGAGCAGACATGGGGATGGATCGGCGAGGAGAGAGAAAGGCATAGAGAGAGAGAAGGAGAGAATGGGCGATTTGTTTTTCTCTTTTAAATTTTTTTAATTTTATAATATTTTTAAAGATTTTGTTATTACTTTTTTCACACATCATCCCCAATTAAATATTCCTAATTAAATATCAATATTTTTTAGGTCAAAATCCTTAATTAAATTTAAATATTATAAGAATTATGTTTTACTCCGACACAACACCAAACATAGGTTTTCACTATTTTTACAATCCAGCTTCTCAGTCCGACGCAACACAAAACGTAGGTCAGTGCTTAATCCTGCTTAGGCCAATCCAAGCTAATCCATGACAGTCCGCCATACCAAACGACGCCTTAGAATGTGGTTGTATAGCCTCAAAAAAGCAGTTTTGTATATTCCTACCATGTTCCAGATACGAGATAGTTTATAATATATATTTGCACCCATAATACAGGTGGTGTGGGAAAGCTAAAGTTGGAAGCTTCATTATCGCTATCCTTTGAAATTGGTTTTTAGTTATTTGAAAGCCCTTAAATATATACATACAACGACACTTGAAATGATGTACCTATTATATGGTGTGTGTGTGGTTTATTACTATGCATGGTTAAGTATGTTTACTTTTTATTAACTTGGTTGGGACATTTTGGTAAAATGCATGGTTAACTACGGTTTACTTTCAACTTTTCCCTAAACTAACTAAAACATTGGTAGTTAATCTGAAAGTCCTGTGAGATTTAGTATTATTTAATCTCAAATCTCCCATGTCTTTCAAGACCAAAGTAAGAAACAAAATAAAATAAAAAAGCCACGTTGCTGAGAATCGTTTTTAAAATTTTATTCATATATTTCATATATAAAAAACTATGTCATTTCTATAACTATTATTATTTTGACATAAATATTATATGCCACTATATCTATACGTGACAAGTGTATTCGTGATTAGCATAAATGAATGCATGATTGGTGTTAGTGCGTATGTGACTACTGCATTTGTCATCTTACTCGTAGCTAGTGCATGTATCTGTGACATCTCTTTAAATTTGCATCTGCGACCAGTTTAAACGTATATAGCTAATAGACTTGTCAATATTTGTTCAGTGTTCAATTCGCCCTCCCCCTCCTTCGGTATCTCTTAGTATTGTTATGATCATACGCGCACAGATTCACAATCAACGGGAAAACGAAAGATTATAAATTCAGATCAAAGATAAAGATGTTGCAACCCAGGCGGAAAACTTGCATACTACTCTTTCAAAAGCCACCACCTTGACTCAGAATTTTCGAGTCTCTCCCTGTCGCTATTACTAACACCTGTATCCTTGTCGCTATCTTTTCAAAATTAGTATAATATAAATATAATTGAAATTTCAAACTGATTTAAGAGCCTTGGTACGTAATACGCGACGGCATGACCATATGCTCAAAATCAATCGAAGATTACAATTTGACTGGGTCAGTTTTTAGACTTGTAGCGAGAAAACGGGCCGCGTATTTCAATTGACTAATGAATTAACTGGACCCAATACCTCGAGCTAGCCCACTAAGGTGTTAAAATCCTAGAGGCTCCAGACTTTCAAACATTAGGATAGTGGATTTCCCCGGCAATTTCAGATCATATGCTTCTTCTAAGTCAACTATACTGGATGGAGAGGAAGGAGTATGAACCCAATGACTTTTCAATAACGAAATTTGGAAATGCAGACAATATCAAGGACTGTATACAAGGGGCCATGTTTACAAGAAGAAAAGTTTTATATGCGAAAGGGGTTTTTATCACAAAACATCTTCGAAATTTACAAAATTATCAACTTTAGTCTTTTCTTTTTTGGGTCAGAAATGGCCCTCCACAGTAACTCTCACGTCAAGTAAATCCATGCCGTTTGATTATGTCAATATATTTATTAATTTGCTACCGTGGCACATATGTGAACTATGCTCATCATTTATACAATATGACGGATTTCATATAAATCAAAGGTTAATTCACTGGCAAGGGGCTTGTACACATGCTATTAATCTACTCTAGAAAAAAGGGGAATTTGAACTTGGACGCATGCTTCTAGTAAATTAGAAAACCAACAATGTTTGTTGGGAGAAAGATCATTGATGAGTCAATAATACTATAATGGCTTGAAACTCATTTTCCTTTACGTGCCTGTCCAGTCTTGTTAATTTTCAATTTGGTTGTTCAATTTGACTTGAACTCTTTCTGCAAAACGCGTCTGGCAGGCAGGTCTTGTTGTTATCATAAAATTTTTCTTCAACAGCAAGTCATTGTCATTATTAGTCAATACCTCTGCAGTGATTGACGGGATAATGGGTAATTGCTTAATTGCTTGGGACCTCCTCTAAACTCTACCGCCTATGCATATGTGAATATGGGATGTGTATATATGTAGTGTAAGGGGCATGCTAATGT